TGGCCCGCATCTTTACCGTGGCATGTGAAAATTACCACCCGCACTTCATTCAGCTCTCACTGCTCTCATTCTCTTCCACGCTCTCCGCTCTCTTCCTCTCCTACTCGGCCCTATTTCTCGCTCTAAAATTAAAATCTGCCTCGCTTTCTCTCTCTCTCTACCTCTTCCTTTCTTTAGAGATATTGTAATTTGTTAATCCATAAGATACTAATGAAATGTCTCGTGCAAAACAACGTCACGTGTGCAAATTATCGTGTGTTGTCATTATAAGATCTTGCAAATTAGTCGGGCAAACACTGATGTGTGGACTTGTTATGCTAGCCGCTTTTACACTGCCGCTGTAATCCTGTTAGTGAGCATGTGACTCATCATGTGACATGGTGTAATACACATACGACGACTATAAAAGGCAGTAGCTTAAACAGTACTACTACTATTACTAATACTACTACAAACTGCACACACACATTGATATTGTGTATGTATCCGTGTATGCGTGCGTGCGGCAGCGTGCGCGTGTTTGCGTATACAGTCACACTCATCATGCATGCTCTGATACACGCAGTCGTTAGGAATAGCGAGCACGTGTGTGTGTGTGTGTGTGTGTGTGTGTGTGTGTGTGTGTGTGTGTGTGTGTTTGTTGTAGCAGCCGCGCCACATTCTGTCGTGTGACCGTGACTGCATCTCTCCACGCTGCCGCTAGCGACGCTCTTGTTTGGATCTCGCTAATAATCTATCAGCAGACGCTATCTCTACCTACGACCGTGCCCCGTTGATGCAATCAATGGCATCTTAATCAAATGGTCTTCTTGATATATTTGCTAGCAGATGACCGAGCCGTTTTAATTAGGAATGAACGGGGGCGCCTATCTCGTCTAGGTTTATAAGTTTCTACACTTCTCTACTCTTCGTGCGTGTAGCTGAGCAGAACAACTCGCTCTGCCGTAACTGTCAGCTTTTAGGGTTGAGCTAATATCGCCCACAGCATTATTTTATTACTATTATGTGTTTAATACGGGGGTAGAAATTAGTTTGAAAATGTACCTCACACGCACACACACTCAAATATTGACTGCCAGGTATTTTTATTAACTACAGCTGCCAGTTGCGAGCGAAACTTCCAAACAGTCCTCTTTCTGTGTCCCACTTCATTCCCGCTGCGGAAATATTCCTATTCTTCCGCCTCTTTTACAGTTGCCGTGTGCCTGAGTGGTGCGACGAGGCTGTACTGCTGTTTGCATGACTAGTAAGTAATATGACGTGCTTTGCAGCTACAGTTACTTATGTTCTTTATTATTATTTACTCTAATTCAACATGATATAGTGATTCGTGAACAGTATATATATGGACGCTGTGGCTTCGTTCCCGTCACCAGTCGGGTGCATAGGCTTGTGACCCGCATCCTATCTTTGAATCTCGCCGCTTTCCTAGCTGGCGTGGTTGGTAGCGTCCGCGTGCGAACCGTGGGCTGCGTCCACGGGCGTTTTAACCCCCGACGGTGTGGTTGCCCGGAAATTTTATATTCTATGTATTATTTAATGGTTTTATGGGTGGGTGGTGGGAGACACGTCGTGTGTGATATTTAAATGTTGTGTATATAAATGTCCACGCGCAGGGATGCAAGTGTGATTTACGTTAATCATCGCATCTGCCTCTAACAACACGCACCTCTCCCTCTCTCTCCTCTCATCTCTCTTCTTCGCCTTCTCCCTTGCCTCTCATCTTGCTTCTTCGCCCTCGCTCTCCTCTAGAGAGAGGGAGAGGAGGAGGAGGATAGAGAGCGAGTGGAGGAGAAAGAGCGAGTGGAGGAGAAGGAGGATAGAGAGAGAGAGAGAGAGAGGGAGAGGGAGAGGAGGAGGCGGAGGATAGAGTGAGAGGAGGAGAAGGAGGAGAAGGAGGATAGAGAGAGAGAGGGAGAGGCGGAGGATAGAGAGAGCGGGAGAGGAGGAGGATAGAGAGGGAGAGGAGGAGGAGGATAGAGAGAGAGAGAGCGAGAGAGAGAGGGAGAGGAGGAGAAGGATAGAGAGGGAGAGGAGGAGGCGGAGGATAGAGAGCGAGAGGAGGAGTTAATAATTATATTGTATAATTTAATAATTTAAATGTTGT